CCATTTAATTTGAATCTAGCGAACATGCTAAATGCGCATATATTTATATATATACATAAATCTGCGTACAATCATCCGTATAAATATGTATCTCATAATTATAAAAGCATACTCTGTTCTCTTATAAGACCACTACTAACTGGTTTTGAACTGACTCACGATATATTTTTTTTCTTTTAGAAAAAGAACAATTATCATATTCATCTCCTCCTAGCTAGCTAGCTTTCATCGTCATCTACTATGTGTGTAGAGTACATATAATTGATTCAGTCTACGTTCGTTCTACGTATACTATGTACGCACGTACACCCACATATACTGTACTTTGTGTGTATATCTCTGGATAGGTAGCTCCGTAGCTGCTTTCTCCATCCTAAAATAAGTAAATTTAATTAGGATAGAAAAGAATATTCCTTAATAAGTACTCCGCCATCCCAATTAATGTTCAGGTTTATATCTCAGATTGTTTCTTTTAACCGAGAAAGTATATGTCCAAATTAATTACATTAGAAAATATTTTATCCCTATTTTAGGTAGATTTATTTTGCAGACTACTTTTGAGAACATCTTGTGCGTACATATATACTGTACTGTACTGTACATATATATAGCTGAGTCTCGGATTGGATCGGATGGCGGCTACCATAGCGATGAGATTGATATGGATCGAACTTTGCTTTGGCTGTGGCTGTGTTTAGATCCAAAGTTTGGATCCAAACTTCAGTCCTTTTCCATCACATCAACCTGTAATACACACACAACTTTTCAGTCACATCATCTTCAATTTCAGTCATTTTCAAAACTTTGGAATGATCTAAACACAGCTTGTGTTAGTCATTTTCCATCACATCAACCTGTCATACACACAACTTTTCAATCATATATCATCAATTTTAACCAAAATCCAAACTTCCCCTCAACTAAACACAGCCTTTGCTTGCTTGTCGCGTCGCACACGCGCACCATCGATCGAATTGAACGTGGCAACACAAGACGTGTGCACTATCCCAAAAGCTAGTGGCTTGGGAGTTAACGGCCCATGGGGCCGACACGTGTACGTTCGTAGATGTGGTCGTTGCTTGCAGGGCAAAAACTCCAAACGGCACCGATATACTCCGTCCGTCCTCTAGCATAAGAAATTTTGATATTTTACTTGTATTTGACCACTCGTATTATTTAAAAAAATTATACAAATATAAAAAATAAAAAGTACTTTGGATAATAAAGTAAGTTAAAAATAAAATAAATAATAATTCCAAAAAAATTTAAATAAGACGTATGGTTATATAGTCCAAGCAAAATGTTAAAATCCCTTATATTAGAGAATGGAGCGAGTATATCGGCACGACCAGCGACAAATATATATCGATATATGAATGTGTTTAATTCCCTTCAAACTTTCAACTTTTATGTATGGAGCATTAAATATAGACGAAAAAAATAATTACACGGTTTGCATGTAAATTGCAAGACGAATCTTTTAAGGCTAACGCCATGATTTGACAATGTGGTGCTATAGTAAACATTAGTTAATGACGGATTAATTAATAGATTCGTCTCGCAGTTTATAGGTGGAATCCGTAATTTATTTTATTATTAGTCTAGCTTTAATATTTTAAATGTGTGTCCGTCGTTAAATTTTTTTCCCTTTTTTGCCAAAACAAATAAACATGGCCATAGTACTCCATATCGGAAGAGCATCCTAGCTATCTAGTACAAATATTATCATTTGTAGTCACATCGTCCATGCATGCAATTATGTTTTTTCCAGTTGATATTAGTGACGAATATCTTATTTTAGTCATTAAGTCATTCATCTTATACTTAACATCGCATAGATACTTAACATTGCATAGCTCCAATATCACAAGGGATTTATCACAGAAGATCGATCAAATAGATTGCAGTGAAAGCTTGATTGGTTTGAAGTCAATGTTTGTCCTATAAATATTTTGGTAGTGGTAAATTTTGATACTACCAAATTTAATAGGGTATGATCTATAGTCATTTGTGTAAAAATTGACAGCAAACCAGACAAAGCCTATATATATCTAAAGGCCGTTCTTATATTATTATGTGATATACGAATATTTTGTTGCACTAGCTAGTATATATATCGTTGATGAATTATAGCATGTTTAGAATGTATTTATATGGGTAAAATTTATAATTGAGGTGAAGACACCGGGCTGAAGCAACAAAATATAATTCTAGTGTTTCTAACGGCCGGTTTTAAAGCCAAAATCTTATGCTAGCTGATCGAAATTGTTAAAATGACTTACTCCCTCCGTCCCGTAATATTAGGGATACTTAGAGGAATGTGACACTTTCTAGGACTATAAATCTGGACAATCTGGACAGTTTGTTCGGATTAATAGTCCTAGGAAGTGTTACTGACTGTTTCATTGTTTTAGGAAGTGCCACATTTCTCCAAAATCCTTTATATTATTGGACGGAGCAAGTAAAAAAATATACTTACTTCTTTTTACTAAAATAGGAGTAGATGATTTGCTGATCGGTTAAAAGCAAAAGCTAGTTACCACTTCTTTTTTACTAAAGACTACCACAGTAGTAGTGTACTACTGTACCTGTACGTACCAATAAATTGATTGTCTAATGTTGTACTCCCCCGTCCAAAAAAAGATAAACATTGGGTTTCGTGTCCAACGTTTGACCGTCCGTCTTATATGAAATTTTTTTATAATTAGTATTTTCATTATTGTTAGATGATAAAACATGATTAATACTTTATGAGTAACTTATCTTTTTATTTTTTTTATATTTTTTTCGAATAAGACGGATGGTCAAATGTTGGACACGGAAACTTAGGGTTTAACTTTTTACTTAGGAGTACGTGACAGATGGACCAACCGTGCAGTGCCAATTTTTTTTAATTTTTTTTTTACTTTTGTAGGGCCTCGTGAGTCGTGACTGCCTATACATAGCTACTCCATGCGTAGGAACAGCCGCATGCAGTCGATTTGGAAAAGAAGACAAGAAAATGGAGGGAGGGGTACTGGCCACCTACCCACGTGGCTGGTCGCCCAATCATTAGCTAGTCCTACTCATCACTCACATCACTCACCAACAACTCATGAAATTTGACGTTTTGGTTGTTTGAAAAACGGAAAAAGATTGAAAATATACCTCTTTTTTATTATTTTGCATTTATATACCTATGTGACGAAAATTTGTACAAATATACCTATTCCGCAGCGTGGTTACGCGGGACCGAGGCGGTCCCGCACTACCATTCCGCGGGACCGCGGGACCGGTGGTCCCGCAGCACGGACGCACGGTACCGCGTCGGTCCCGCGGACCGGCCGCGCGTGACCGAGCAGCCAAGCTGCACATGCATGCATATAGCACTGTTCGACACTGTTCTGCACTGTTCATGAGCCGGTTCCGCACATTGGATCCGCGGTACCGCTGTTTGAACAGTGCCAAATAGTGTCAAAACAGTACTGATACAGTGCCAAATAGTGTCAAAACAGTACTGATACAGTAAAAAAGAGAAAATTCAATCCATAGCACAGGAAACAAAGTGGTAAAAAAAAATAGTACAAAAAGTTTCCACTTTCGATCCATAGCATAGGCCACCGATTTTTCTTCGCCCCGTAGCACTTCCGTCGCATTTTGAAGTAACGGCGTTAGATCGGAGTAGAGAAAATTTTCGTCGGACTCATTTGCCCTTCGCTCCCCACATTCCCCACCAGGTCTCCTCTTCCACTCCCTCGTGGACGGCGGCGCGGCAACCATCGGCGTGCCGGGCGACCGCCTCGTCTCCCCGACTGCCTGAGCGTGGATGGACGTGGGCCGCTGTACGCCGCCGCCGACGACGATGATGGCCGACGAGCACTTCTTCCCCGCTGCGCGACTACTTCTCCTCCTTCACCTCCTCGTCCAGCGCCGGCACGGGTGCGGGAGCATTGCTGCCCGCTGTGGCGGTGAACGGGATGATGACAATGATGCCGCCATGGGCGGTGGCGGCTGAACAGATGGTGATAATGGTGCCGGCGGCAGCGGAGTCCATGGGGCACTTCGACTCCGCGCTCAGCTCGCTCGTGTCGTCTCCGCAGGGCAGCGGTGATGAGATGGCGGCCATCGGGAGCATCTGCAACCACGGCGGCGCCAGCGCCAACAAATTAATCAACTAATTAATTAAATCCTAATTAGCCTTTTGCAAGTGCACTAATTCGTGCGGCTCAGCTTCGCCGAGAACTCGAGAATGAAGCAACCGTCGAGGAGCAGCATCTTCGGGAAGCCGTCGCCGTCGTCGTTCAAGATGGCCGTGCTCTCGCTGTAGCAGCAGCGAGCACGCTGCTCGACGGCCCGAACCGCGTCCACGAAGTCGGAGAGCGGGACGGTGGGTGCTCGCTGGAGGAAGCGCCACTTGTGCTGCTCCATGGCATGGTGCTCGTCCCGACCGCGGTGGTAGGGCCTGATGGCCACCAGCCAGGGCTCGTACAGCTTCCTACAACTGCTGTTGTCGTCGCGATGGGAGCCGACAGGGACACGGAATGGCACGCGGCTGGGGACGGGGATGGCGGCGGTGGGGATGGGGACGGGGATCGTCGCCGCGTCGCAGTTTGGCGACGGCGCCGTCGTCGTGGGCACCGGTCCGAGAGGACGAGATGACACAGGAAGACGAAGGGCAAATGGGTCCAACAAAATTTTTCTATACTTCAATCTAATGCTGTTAACTCTAAACCTGACGGAAGTGCTATAGAGCGAAGAAAAACCGGTGGCTTGTGCTTCTAATCGAAAGCGAAAATTTTTTGTGCTATTTTTTGGTACCGCTTTTTTTCCTATGCTATGGATCGAATTTTCTCTAAAAAAAAATGTGGCATCCCTGCCGCTCCCGCACGCCCGTTCCGCGGGACCGTGCCGCTCCCAAGGTGCTCCCGCATCCCTGCCGCTCCCGCATACCCGTTCCGCGGGCTGCATCGCTTCCGCGCAACCGCCGTGCGGGACCGGCTCGATCCCGCATCCCCACTACGCGCGACCGTGCCTACCGTACCGCTCCCGCTAACCCAATATGCGGACGAGGTATATTTTCGCAAATATGTGTCATGCAAGTATATTTTTGTAAATTGAAAGAAAAAAAAGTATATTTTCAAATTTTTTTCTTTGAAAAACTACTAGAAAAACAGACCTTGAAAATAAAAACTTTAATAGAAAATAAAACCCGATCTCGATTAGTACCATCGTATTTGGCGCTCAAATACAATATCTCAACACCACGTACTTGACGCTACTCCCCACGTCCAAAAAGAATTCATAGTATCCGAAGGTAAATTTAGTGAGAAGTAAAAATGACCAAAATGACCCTCATCTATGAAAAATATATAAATGGTGATAGGAAGTCAAATTTAGTGAGAAGTAAAAATGACCAAAATGACCCTCATCAAGGAAAAATATACTAATGGTGATAGGTAGGTAAATGGCATTTAAGGGATAAAAATTCTCGTTTTATATGCTGAAGGTAGATAGGATGTTAGAAGTTGGTTTTTGTGGAACAAAATTCAAACTCCAGGAGTTAGTTTTTTAGGACGGATGGAGTAAGTCGCTAAGAACATTGGCACATTGTTACGGATTCTAGGTCAGAAACAAATGAGTTAGGATGGGAGATGGGTATAACCGACCGTAGGATTAAAAATGAATGTGGAAATGAACTGAGAGAAAATTTTCATTAAAAGAAAAAATCCAAGCACCGAAACAGCAGCTAAGAGCATCTCCAACAGTCTCTCTAAATTTGACTCTCCAAATATCTATTTGGCCAACTCTCTATCTAATTTGGTAAGTCAAACTCGTGATTTACTTCAACAGCCTCTCCATCTGCTATCTCCATCATAAGTCTATGACAAATAGGACCCATATGTCAGCCTATACTACCTTTTTCCACCCCATTCCCCCATACATCCCCTTCTTCCTCCGTTCTACTCCTACTTCGGATGTGGCGACGACGACTCACAGGAAGCGGACCGCGCGAGGTGGCGGCGGCGAACGGCGGCGGGCGCGCGAGGCGGCGCCGAGCCAACGGGCTGCAGCGTGCGGATCCGTTCCTTGCCGGCCTCCCTCGCTCCTCCCTCACCGCCGCGCCCTCCATCCCTCGCCGGCTCGAGGTAGCGCGCGAGGCGGTGCGCGCGGCGGCGGACGGCTCAAGGCGGCGCGCGAGGTGGTGCGAGACGGCGGCGGGCGCGAGAGGCGGCGCGAGACGACGCTGAGCCGGCGGGCTGCAGCGCGCGGATCCGCTCCTCGGCGGCCTTCCTCGCTCCTCCCTCACCGCCGCGCCCTCCATCCCTCGGCGGCGCGGCTGGAGAGGACGCGGACGGCGGCGGTGGTCGCGGCTGGGGATGGCGCGGATGGCGGCGGCTGCCGCGGCTGGGGACGGCGCGGACGACGGCGGGCGGTCGTGGCTAGCTCTGTCGTCGCCGTCGTTGCCTTTTGGTCTAGCCGGGGGAAAGGGAGAGAGATGGGGTGGGAGGTGGCGTGGTGGGGCCCACGAATAGCCAAGCAAAGAGACTCCAAGTTTGGCCAGTGATGGGTGTGATTTGGCCATCCAGATGGCTTGGCTAACTGGCTGGAGAGGCTGTTGGAGGGTATTTTTTCCCATGCTAGCTAAAATTTAACTTGGCCAGCCCTTTAGCCATTCTATTGGAGTTGCTCTAAGGTGTTCGATCAATTCGATTGGAATAATGGATGTCTCTTTAATTGCGTCCAATTGATCTAACTCAAATTAATAACTAAAGAAGATGACCACGATGGCCAGGATCACAAATCTTGGAGTCATGTCCAGCAGCAAGATTTCAATCGATATTTGTTCTTTTTGTTCCTCACCAAACAATTTGACAGCACATAGGGCCTCATTTCAAATGCCCGCCGTGCTCCAGATGTCAGCCCAATGGGCCTGTGGGCTCATATCCAGGCCCTATATGCTGCAGCACCCGTATGGGCCTATATGGGCCATATAGGCGTGTGGGCCCAAATCGCGGCCCATCCAAAGGAGAGCCGAACGGCACAGGAGGATTGAAGGCTTGAAGCGGAGCGGCGTCGCACGCAGGCCTGTTTGTTACAGCTACAACTCCTAAATTTAGCTCCAGGAGTTGGGTCTGGAGTGGAGTTGTGGAGCTGCCTAAACCCAGCTCCACAACTCTAGTTCATTTTGTGAGAGAGCTCTACCCAGCTCCACTCCTAGTTTTGGTGGAGCTGAAACTGTTTGGCTAAGCTCTAGCTCCAAGAGAGGCGGAGCTGGAGCTGGACCTGTGCCAAACAGGCCCGCAGGCACGCGTCGCGCACGGAGTTCGCCCGCGGCGGCGGCGGCGGCGCCGGCCAAACGGCGCAAGGTCGGGGTCGCTTTTTCGCCGGAAAACGAGGTGCGTGCCGCGTCCTCCATCCTTGTCTGGGCATTCGGCTCGACTGCTCGCTTGTTTCGTCGCCGCAACGGGACTACGGGTGTCCATCGATGGCGCCCCCGCTGCACGCCATATGTTTGCTGAAATGCCGGAGAGGCTCGCCGTCGCCCCGGCGCTGGGTTTCTCTCCTGCAGGGGGACGTTTCCTCGTTTGTGCGGATGTGCCGCTGTGATAGATCGTTCATTCGGGACGAGGTTGTGTCTCAGGAGTCAGGTATGTTTCTTGATTTATATTCTTGGGTACCGGAGAAATCCCATTGAATAGTACGTTAAAAGATAAATTTGAAGTGAGCTGTTGGAACAATTGGAATCGACAACATTTAGGACGCGATGCTACACACTGCGGACCTGAATCGTGGTCGGGATGCATGCTAGTTTTACTAGTAGTGACTAGGGTCCTACCCTAACCAATATTATTACTCGATAGTAGATGGAAAGATTAGGGTGCTTATTTTGAAGGCAGGAGATCAGTTGACCCTGAGAAGGGAGCATCTGAAATGCTTCGAAGGTTGGACTCAGTTGGTACCTCTTCATGGCTTCATGCCAGTATAACTACTCCATCAATGTTGACGATTTCCTAGTATTTCACTAAATGTTTTTTGCTCACAAAATCACAGTGGCATATTTATGGTTGGTTAGGAACTGAAGCTGAGTTGATGGATCATGCTTTGTCAACACAAAAATTACAGCACAGACTAAACTAGGACTTAAATTTAATCTTCTATGAGTAATACCGTGGAGACCGATTATAGTGCAGATAATTTCAATTGCGAACTACTTTTTTTCCCTTTTAGTTGAATTGAACAATCTTATATTATTGCTTCTTTCTTTTTTTGGCCCTTACTGTGCGGCCGCGGAGAATTTGCACCAAAGCGGTTAGTGGTACAGGGCATTGCTGCCTCCTGTGTTGAACAATATGAGATTCGGCCTACCTCTGGTTTTACATTAACAAACATGGAGAGTGACTTCAAAGTCAGAAGGATACAACTCTTTCTTTCTTTTTTTCCCTCTGTTTTCAGAGAAAGAGAAAGGGTGTATTTAAGCCTGCTCTTTGACATCTGCATCTGAAACATTCAGGGTCACTGAACCCCGTGGTACCTTTGCATCCCAAAAATGTGGAGACCAATACGCGAACAAGGAAAACTGCGCCATGTTTTTCACATTCTCTCAGTTATGAGTGAGGCAGTGAGCATTGCATGTAGAGAACACATCACTTAGTTAACAGCTGGTTGCTATTTTCCTGCTGCAACAAGTGGACCACTGTGATCAAGCTTCAGGGACACTTCCTTGAATATCTTGCGGCTGAGAGTGTTGTAAACTGCTCTCGAGTATTGCCGGGATGCATTCCTCCAGTCCATTCCGGCTGACATCATTAACTCAAACTCCTCGTAGCTTATCTTCCCATCCTACAGAACACACCTCAGTTAAAATTATTACCGCAAGGAACTTAATATTTGTAGTGTGATATAATTTGCTAGTTGTTGTTAACGAAAGTGACCTAACCTTGTCTATGTCAACATCCAGAAATATGTCGTCGATCGACTTCTGGTCACCTCTTGGGGAGAGGGCTTCTTTCAACTCTTCGATCTCTATGTACCCGCTGCCGTTCTTGTCGAAGAAGCTGAACACCTTCGGAAGGTGCTCATCGCTACGGATTTTCTTCAGGTGAATGGATACTGTCACAAACTCCTTGCAATCCAGTATGCCATTTCCATCTATGTCTGCCTGTAGAATAAGAACACAGGCAGGGGGATCTCATATAATCTGTGAATCATCTGCTGGTTAAGAACAATTTAATAGTCCGATGGGATTGAAAATGAGTTCATCTTGCAAGTAGTGAAAAGCTGAGATTGTGGAACCAGAATAGTGTAAGTGAAGAGGAACTCACAGCTTCCATGAGCATATCGACATCTGTGTCATGGATGTTGTGCCCTATCACTTGCAGTCCCTTTCTGAGCTCTTCTAGTGTCAAGTGCCCCTTCTTTTTGGTGTCCAACATATTGAACAGCTCCCTGATTGCATCCAGCTCTTCGGTTGGTAAGTACTCCGCCACCACCTTACCAACAATAAGTTCAGTATCAATACTTAGTTACACTAATATCTAGGAATAACACTAATGAAACAAAACTGCCAGCTTACAAGTAAGGCCTTCTTCTTGAACTTGTTCATAACAGTGAATTGCTTCAGCCTGGACCTGACTGCTTCTCCCAGAGGAATGTTGGGAGCTGCACTTGCATTCTGTATCCAAGGATGCTCTTCATTCTCGAAGTCCAGAAATGATTGTTAGAATCAGGCCAGCCATGTATTAGAGGAGGCAAAAAAATGGTAGGACTAAATTACCTAGAACCTGTTGAGCCGTCAACCGAGTATATGGGTTTGGATCAAGCATCCTCCTTACAAGATCCTTGGCATTATCTGACACCTTTGGCCAAGGCTCTCTTTGGAAGTCGATATGTGACCGGATGATGGCCTGTGCGATCCCTTCGTCGGTCTCTACAAAAGTTCATCCAAGAACTTGTTTTATTGGTAAAATTAATTCAACAAAATCTTGCACTTCCATGCATATCTAAACTGAGACTTACCGGCCCAGAAAGGAGGAACACCACATAGCAAGATGTACAGTATGACTCCTGCACTCCATATGTCTATTTCTTGTCCATAGTTTCTCTTCAGGACTTCTGGTGCCATGTAGTAGGGAGATCCAACAATCTCATTGAATCTTGCACCTAATGGGGAAGAATCGTGCATGATCGATACTTAAATATTTGTTGATATATGGTATATGTGGATTGAACTATATGAAATAGCTATATTTTGTACCAGGTTTGAAGCACACTGAGAGGCCGAAGTCGATGACCTTGAGAGGGGAGTTCTCAGATGCATTGGCATACAGAAAGTTCTCAGGTTTGAGGTCCCGATGCATGACGCCGTTCTTGTGACAGTGCTGCAAAAAGTTGTACTAATGTATCAAATATTTTTCACTCTCTACATTGAGCAATCAATTCAAAGAGGTATTTGTTTACTTTGCAGTAAATATTAATTGTTGGTTATCAGTTTCATGTTTCAATGGACACTATTTCTTGAAAGGCTACTGGAAGCAAATTGAGCACAAATATTTTGGTGTTAAGTTAGAAGGATTGGCTTATTTGCACATTTCACATTTGCATGCCATAACCATGTACTCCCTCTGACCCTAAATATTTGACGTCGTTGACTTTTTAAAACATGTTTGACCATTTATCTTATTTAAAAACTTTTGTGAAATATGTAAAACTATATGTATAAATAAACATATATTTAACAATGAATCAAATGATAGGAAAATAATTAATAATTAGTTAAATTTTTTGAATAAGACGAACGGTCAAACATGTTTAAAAAAGTCAACGGCGTCAAATATTTAGGAACGGAGGGAGTATAATGTACTTTGACATATTTTACATGTTACTGCAGACTCCGAAAATTTTTAACCTTAAATCAGGCATGCTCAAAGCATGAGCATGTGGGTGGTGCACGCTGATACTTTACAAGCTTTCCGTGTGTACTACTACAATTGAACTTAATTTGGGCCAGCAAAAACCACTCCAATGATGCATGTAAGTTTTATTCAAACTTTGGATTGTACAATGTGAAGTGCATTGTAAATTCTGTTCTGTACGTAGTCTTTTATACATTAGGAACCAGAACGAACTGCTCGTAATTAATTCTATCAGATCAAAATGTTCATTCTTTATCTGAAATTGAACAGCTTTGAATCTTTGATTGCAGATCAAATGCATGCAATAAGAATGGAGATGGATGAATTGAAGAGAGAGAGAGAGAGACCTGGACGACGTCCATGATGGTGCGCATGACGGCGGCGGCGGCGCGCTCGGTGTAGTGGCCGCGGGCGACGATGCGGTCGAAGAGCTCGCCGCCCTCGCAGACCTCCATGACGAGGTGGACGGCGTCGGCGTCCTCGAACGCCTCCCGGAGCCTCACCACGTTGGCGTGCGCCGGCAGCGACCGCATGATGGCCACCTCCCGCCGCACGTCCTCCACGTCCACGCTGCTCCGGAGCTTCCGCTTGCTGATCGACTTGCACGCCAGCCGCTCCCCCGTCACCGCGTCCCGGCACCGCCGCGTCACCCCGAACTCCCCCCGACCCAGCTCCTCCCCGATCTCGTACCGCCGCAGCATCTCCTCCGCCGCCATCACGCCGCCGTTGCCGCTGCTGCCGCTGTTGCCCAGCACGGTCGCCGGCTCGTTCGACATCACGGCGCGCGCCGCGTCCGACACGGAGGAGACCGTGGAGAGGCACCGCATGTTGGCGGCGCCGATCACCCGCCTGCCGCCGCGGGTGTGCGGGGCGGTGGAGCTGCCGCAGCGCCGCCGCTTGTCGGCGCCGGACGGCCGGGACACGCAGCAGTTGCCCATCCTCTTCCTCTTCTTCGATCTTCTTCTTCTTCTTCTTCACCGCCGACGACGCTGCCGCGCCACCGCAAACGTACGGCGACGGTCGCGTCGCCGGAATTGTTGTGGACGTACGAATGATCGAACGAACGAACGAACGAGCGCGCGAGCTCCGGAGGGCGGCCGGTGATCGATCTCTCTCTCTCTTGCGGCCCCCTCCCTCTCTCTCTCTCTCTCTAGGGCAAGAGAGGAGGAGGAGAGAGAGAGATGGAAGGAAATGGCGGTGCAGGGGGGGTGGTTGGCTTTGAGGCGCTTCTCTCCCGCATCATTCGTTCTTGGGTTTGCCATTTTTGGAGGCCTCTAAAGGGTCTCCCTACAGCTCACACTAGATCTTAAACTATGATGGCAAGTTTAGACTTTCAGGAGAATAAACTGTCCATTTATATTCTCTAGGGGAGAGTCAATAATAGCATTCTAGCAAAATAGTTAAAACCTTCCTTTTGTTCCTCCAAATGATCCATGCACATACACTTTCTTTTTAAGAGTAAATTACTATCATGGGATGAATACTTGAGAATTGAACATCCTTGTAAGTAGGTGCGTTCTAGTAGTAAGGACTTAACAATTTAGTATTTTAGTTTAGCAACTTGGTTAAGTATGTGTTGTTTTAGTTAACGAGTGGTAGGTGAGTTTTTTTCACGAGGTCGATATGACATTAAATAGCAATCATGTGGGTATTATCTTATAATTAATCTTGAATTCAATCTATAATAAGAAATTATGTTGCTCATCCAATTTGCACCAACAATTTGCTTCACATTCTCAAATCTCAACCGAAATACAAACATTTCTACATTGTAAAATTTATTTGACTTCGAATTACTAAAATTACAAATTTATAAGTATGCTCATAAATACAAATATGTGGAAGTGTATTGACAAATTAAATATTTAAAAACTGAATGTGTGTAGAAAAAAATACTCGAAATAATTAAGTTGTTGCATCACTTCTTAAGTTACTTTATCAAAATTGCACCCGTGCGCTCACTTATTAAGTTATTGCACAAATTGCACTCACATGTCAAGCTATTGCACTTGGATGCTCACTTCTCAAGTTTTTGCACCAAATTGCACTTACCTGCCACGTTTATGTACCATGAATCCAATTTACTCCTTATTTACACATACTTAACACCTTTGAATTATAGGCACATGCATTTTTTAAATTTAATTGAATTCATTTTGGCCTTGGTTCGAAAAAGATATAGATAATTATTATAGAGGTCGTAGGACGAACGACATCGAATCATAAAATCATAGCAAAACTACTCAAAATACCTTCTCCAAGACATAAATTTTCCATCTGTGATATGTGAGAATTTGCACAACATTATTTCTTCCCAACGACTTACATATAGTCGTTGTCTTCTTCCAATCGAAAATAAAATCTTCAAGATCAGTGGCCAATCGTTATATCGATCAAATTTCACACATATCAGCTAAAGAGCAATCGAGTTGTAAATCAATCATTCGCCTAAAACTGAGCATTTCCATAACCATCGAAGCCGACCAACCTCCAATACACACCTAAGGTGGTCATGGTATCTAGGATAGTGTCATTGCTATTCCGAACATATCTAGAGAAGTCCATGGTAAGGCATAGAAGACGTCAATGGCATTGCCTATAGGAAGGTGTGTGGCATCCATAAGCGTCACTGATGTTGGGGCATGTTTGGCACAACTCCAGCTTCAGCTCCACCTTTCCTGGAGTTGGAGTCCAACCAAATGGTTTCAGCTCCACTAAAAATTAGAACGGAACTGATAGAAGTGCTCTCATAAAATGAACTAGAAAGATGGAGCTGGGTTTATACAACTCTACAACTTCACTCCAGATCCAACTCCTATAACTAAATTTAGGAGTTGGAACTCTACCAAACATGCCCTTAATGTTCCTAGCGTTGATGGCCTTGTCCCTAGATCTATGATGATATAGGCTTGACCTCTTCCCAAGCGCAATCACGATGGTGATGACCAGACTCGGAAGATGATATGGGTAGCGGCAGCTCTACGGTTGGCTGCACCGCTAGCACCATAACCGTAGTCGTGAGTGCGCGAGGCCAAGTCGATTGGTAGCCATGTCGCTGCAGCCATCTTGGTCAAATGAATCCTATTCCCACCAGATGTAGGACTCGGCCAAGACCCTACTACCGCCTTCCTCGAGGGGCATATGATATGTGGTCCTTCCCCAGGCGGTGGTAAGGAAGGAAGAAAATCACTTTTGTTTTCTCTTCCCCTCTCCCTCTCTCTAGGGCAAGAGAAGAGGAGAGAGATGAAAGGGAAATGGCAGCGCAAAAGGTGTATGGCTAGGGAGGCCAAACTACCCCGTGCATCATTTGTTATGGGTTTGCCATTTTTGGAGGTATAAGGTTTCCTTTCAAACTACAGCTCTCTTAACCTTTAGTATGGTAAGTTTAGACTATCCATATTCTCTTATACATGTACAATGGTAATTAATAACATGCTCTTAAAGTTGTTAAGAAGGTAATTAAGTTTGTTGATATGGAAGAGAGGGGGAATGGGAGAGAAACATATTTGTTACGCATGACAACGACTCATCAATTCTTATTGTTTATAAAATGAAACTTTGTTGCATGAGAAAAAAAGAATGAAAAGATAAATAATCACCCTCTGCCTTCCCTACTCGTAAAAATGGAAGCAAATGCGCACAACACATATTTGTACCGGCTTATGTTTTCGGACGGGAAATAAGATATCTCTCGGTTTTCACGTGCACGGTTGCCAAACGGTTAAGTGATGTTTTATTAAAATAATCTATAGATAATGTTGCCTTTAAAGTCATATTAATCTATTTTTTATTTTAAGTAATTAATACATAATTAATCATACGTTAATAGCTCAGTTCATTCTAGTATCTTCTCAATTTTCTATTTTCCTCTTCTGTCAAACACCAGCCCTATCTCTGGACACGCTGAGCTATGTGACCGTACAGATTATCCAAATTTGAGGGTCGTGTTTTAATTTAAGCTAATACGTTCTGATATATTTAGAATCTCTAGATTCCGTTTTTCCAGATGTCGCTATCTCTGCTCCACTAAATCGGCTAGAACGAGTTATTTTCTTCTCAATTTCGATAAGTGTTCGATAGTAATCATAACTACATCCAAGAAATATATTTTATGACGACGATGTAAACATGCATTTCAGATAATAAGAATTCCATTTTTTTACATTTCGTAAAAAAAATTGAGTTGTTTCAACGATTCTTCTTCTGCTTTGCCGGAATGTCACTGCATATATAGGTGGGTGATCTTCTTTGACACATAGCTCTGGTTATCATTGGTTGCGAATAATTTCTGCTTGTTTGAGATTTACTTAATTAAACTGAGTATATATGCTAGTGAGTGTGTCAGAAGAGGCAGGGAAAGACTCAACCTATGCACCCACCTGCCCGGTCGGTGCGCTGGTGAATGCAGCAGGTGCACCGCGCACCGTGTCCGTGTGCCGCGGAGCACCTGCACCACGACCACATGCAGGTGCCGCGCGATAGACTTTGTTTGCAATTTGCTCCCTGCACTCCGTGGAATTTACACGCCCCTGCCGGAGCCAAACCTCACTGGCTCACGGCCAGACTAGTTTTTATATCATTAAATATACTACTCCCTCCATTTCGAAATGTTTGACACCATTGACTTTTTAGCACATGTTTGACCGTTCGTCTTATTCAAAAACTTTTGTGAGATATATAAAATTATATGCCTACATAGAAATATATTTAACAATGAATCAAATGGTAGGAAAAAAAATAATAATTACTTAAATTTTTTTAATAAGACGAACGGTCAAACATGTGATAAAAAGTCAACGGCGTCAAACATTTCGAAACGGAGGGAGTACTATCTAAAAGAAAAAAAAGTAAGGCAACAACATAGGTAATGAGAAGATAGAAAAAAAATCATTTCTCATGCAAAAAATTAATTTTACCAAGGAACCAATAATAAAAATGAGGGGATATGTGGATAAAGGAGATGGAAGAGAGATGATTGGATGAGAATTTATTTTGAAGAACCCATTAGGCATATAATTTCTGTCAGGGTTATGGATACCACATACCTAATAATAGTTGACTAAATCTTGGCAGGACCCACCACATACCATGTCTTATACGGAAACAAGCTTTGAATATAGGAGGAGTTCCGCATAAGGAACGATGAATAGAGTTCTACATGGAAAAGACAAGAAATACTCGGATTGTATCCATATTGGTTTCCCTAGTTATACTTGGACAAGGGGGCATCTGTGGGTATAAATACAAGCCCCCCTAGGAGGAGAAGGGAGACACCCACCATAGATGCACAATACACAGGGGGTTGCTAGGCGCGCATGCGCGCTAGGAAAGTAGTTGGCGAGCACTCCCTCCTTCCCTTTAGTGTTAACTACCTATATTAGTTAATATACTTAACGCTAATGATAGTAATTAGGAAAAATTATGGAGATTTTTTGGGAGATATTTTTTACTAACAGACTAAAATTTTTTTAAGTTAGATTTGAAAACTTTCGATTTAAGTTTAAATTTTAAAGTCAAAATTTAAAAACTTTCAACTCAGATTTGAAAAATTTCAACTTAAGATTTGAAAACTTTCAACTCAGATTTGAAAACTTTCAACTTGAGATTTGAAAATTTTCAACTCAGATTCGAAAACTTTCAACTCGAGAATCAAGATTCGAAAACTTTCAAGTCCAGATTTGAAAAATTTGAAAACTTTCAATTTGAGATTCGAAAACTTTCAACTCGAGATTCGAAAACTTTCAAATCCAGATTTGAAAAATTTCAAATCGAGATTTGAAAAATTTCAAATCGAGATTTGAAAACTTTCAAGTCGAGATTTAAAAACTTTCAAGTTCAGATTTGAAAATTTTCAACTCAAAATTTTAAAACTTCAGATTTGAAAATTTTGAAAACTTTCAACTCGAGGTTCGAAAACTTTCAAATCCATATTTGAAAAATTTTCAAATCGAGATTTGAAAACTTTCAAGTCGAGATTTGGAAACTTTCAAGTTCAGATTTGAAAACTTTCAACTCAAAATTTAAAAACTTTCAAACTCAAAACATGCTAAAGATAAAAAAATCAGAAAAAAGAGAGAAAAAAAGGGTAAAAAAACGAAAAAAAACCGTAGAGGAGACGCGCGCGCGCGGCGGCGCGGCGGCGTTTGGCCTCCTGGGCCTGAAACGCGCGCCGCCGGCGCACGTGCGCTAACTAGCGTTTCCAGCCAATACGTCGCTATATATCGACATCAGAGATTAGCCTAGCCATACCCCGTCCGGTACCTACAGGGGCCGGCATGAGGGATCTAGCGTCATCTCTGATCTCGACGAGTTCGTGCTCAAGGAGGAAGACTACCTTGTCATCGACTACGAGTTGGTTATCTAGCCGTCAGGTTGACGACAGTTAGATAGGCTACCCCAAATATTGTACTGGTGTGATTATGGTGAATAAGAGCAACGACCGGCTTCGGTCAACAGGAGTAGGGTTATTACCTGACAATTCAGGGGCCCGAACCTGTATAAAAATCCTTGTCTCTGTACTAACGATCTCCATACCATCCAAATACCGTAGTTGTGACATCAAACGTCGACAATTTCTATACTTAATGTTTATATTATTGCAAGTATGAAAACTACTAGATAATTTCTTAGGCTGGGATTGCCTTAAGAGTACTTGCTGTTCTTGAGGGTGTGTTCTGTAACTATATGTGTCCACCTTCTAATCTATTGTTTTCCACGCATGTTGCATGTTAAATATAAGCCTACAATTTTCGTTCACCATAATATATTTTTTTTAAAAAGTATTAAATGGTTAAAGCTGTAATAGTACCAATTTAATAATAACACATTTTAATTAAATGGAAATGGAGAGAATAATTAATTGGTACCATGTTTTATACATAATTTCACACCAATGGAAAAAATAATAAAAAGGAAAAAACAGAAAAACTCCCTAGCTGGCATGGATAATACACAAAGGAAACTGAATAAACAGAAGTTTCCTATTTAACTGAGAGTTCACATCCCAATTTTGAAGGAATCCAAGGACCAAAATGTAAATAATCGCTAAATAAATCCGGGGTTTAAGCAAACTGCCTCCTCCAGGAGAGATGGCAAATGGAGGGAAGCAGGAGAGCAGAGCAGCCGCCAGGAAAGCAGGTGGCCGCTTCTCCAAGAACGAGCCCCAGATTCAGGTGATGATCCTTCCCGTATCCTTTTTGGCTTGATCATTTTTTTTCTCTGCATTTGTTTGTGAGATTTCACCCCCGCTTTAGTTTAGTTTCTTGGAGCGTTTTCATTGGGGATTTTGGTTCTTCCCCTTGACCGTTTCTTGATTCAGATGGTGTGTTGTTCTTGAGGTAGAGTAGGTGCATGTCTGAGTTCTTGAAAATCGAATCCTCTCTCAACATTTGCAGCTGCTGGTTATAGATTGCCCCCTTTCTTTCATTTGTTTCGAAAAATCTGTGTTTTTTTTATTTTAAAAAAATTGATTGGTACTAATGGAAGATGCGGCTATAGGTTAGTAGTTGTGAAGACTGAGAGAAGCATATCTGATTTATTTGTGCTGAAGAGTTTAGCTGCAATGCAGTAATTTGTGCTTGACCTAAAATTTTAGGCGATTTTTTGGATGGCAAAAAAATTGCTTCAGTGCCGTTTACTCTATAAATTGCTTTCTAAGGTAAGAGTGAATGTGAAATTGGTAGTTTGGAGATCTTCTGAATCCATTGAATATAAAATGTTCAATGACTGCACCTTATATTGTGAACAATGTCTGTACTAGTTAGTTTAGTTACTAATATAATCACAATCTGCATGAATTGTGTTTTTGTCAGAAAATTTGTTGTGCAGAGAGCATGGAGTCAACAATTACATTTATATAACAAGCAGAGAAAATTTCTGTTGCATGTCACTATCTCACCTTGAGTGCTTTGACCTTTTCTGAATACACATGGATAGACTATTATCATGTGAGATTAGTTTGCTTGAAATATTTTGTCAAGTGATGACACAATCATATGACTATTTCATTGACCGGATCCTCAGGTTGAATTGAATCAAGTGTACCACTAGAATTCGTTTGCCACAGCTGAAGCTAACTAATAAAAAATTCGTTAGGATTGTCTTGTTGCGATATTGGCGCATTTGTACATGTCCATGGAAATGTATGAAACAACACTGTACACCTTTTTTTTTTCCTCGTTTACATTAGGTAGTAGGTAAGGTACTTCTCTTCATAAAGCGAATGTGTAGATAAACCAAGTCAAAACTTGTTGGCACAGTGGGTGACATGAAGATGATGATATTCTAGGTAATGAAGTAGGTAATAGATCCTTTTAAATTTACAGCATCTCTCTTTTGAAGAACAATCAAGCAATTGGACTTCATCTAGGATAGTCTTCTGGAATATTTAAGTATTATATGTACATAATTTCCATAATTATGTACACTATATGTGGAAATATAGTGTACATAATTATGGAAAATATTGATTACTCAATTTGAGTCACTTATTTATCATATCAAATATACTTATTTGTTTACATCCCATCCACTTCATTTGCCACTATCACTTGCTTGTGTAACAGTGATGTTTCAATGGTGATGGACTGATTGCTGCTTCTTCCATATATTTTAGATATGATTGAGAAATCATATGTAGTTGTCATAAATATTCTATCTAGTTTCTCTACACATAATCTATCTTGTTTTCTATCTATTTGTAGAAAACTCAATTTGTCATTATCTTGGGTGATTGCCTGAAACAATTTTCTTATTTCTCCAAGTTCCAGGTAAAATTGAGTTGAAGTTTGCACAAGATATATTGCTATGGAAATCTCCAAGGAGGACAAAAATGTTTACAGCAAGGAAATAGCAACACTGTTAATGGTTGAAGAAAAAGTTTCTGAGGAGTTAACTAGTGAAACTGAGAATCCATATGCTGTTAGTGATTTCTCAAAGCTGTCTCCAACTGCTAACCCAGCTTCACCTCCTGAATGTGGCCGTTCTGAATTTGAGCATAACATGACTTCGCTTCATAACCATGTAATGGCGCACTTATCATTATGTAGCTTGAACATGAAGGAGGTCACTACTTCTACTGACAGGGAGGTTCCATCAGCCATTCTTAATTGTCCTTTGAAGGGTGTTAACAAGGATGCTAACACGGAGTTGGTAATAGAATGGAGGCTTGGAATGGGCAATTTCCCCTTGGTGCTATCAGAGTGCGGTGATTCTTCTTGTGATAGTTCTGTCAGTGAACAGTCATCTGTGACGAGCAGCCCATGTACATCATTCACGGCTCATTCAGATACCCGGTCTGAGGATCTTGATGGAGTAGATATTTGGGTCTCATCTTTAGACCTCGATGAAGAAGATTCAGACTTGCTTCAAGAGAAGGAACAAGATCTGGGATTTTTAAGTTGTGACTTCCCCAGCCCTTCTTTCAGTGCAGTGAGAAGAAGCCTCCAATTTGGTCCTTCCAGTTCGAGTCCAGCGACGTCACATGGGAAACAAGCCAATGACTCTGAAGAGCCTATATTTTGGCCATTTGAACACGCTTCATATTACAGTCCTGAATTTGATAAATTTCTGCTTGTATCGCCACGTAGAGTTACCATGGATGTTGGGTCTGCTGAATTTCGCCGGTTAAATCCAATTGTGCAGAGGCTACATAAGAACAAATTATCTTCAGCAAGGAAAAACGTCGGACCGCATCATGGAAGTGTCAGTTTGGGTGCAAAAGGAACCAAAACATCCCAAGATAAGGTTCAGAATGCCGCTGCAGTTCCCTCCTGGTTGAGCAGAACAACAAAAACATCAGCAAAAACATCCTCTTCTAAGCACCAGCAACTGAGCAACAGTGAGAAAAGAAAGCCGTCTCACTTGAAAATCTCTCCTCCAAGAAAGGATAGGTTTCCACAGTTGCAGTCAGGCCACACCGTTCAAGAGCTTGAAGCAAGTGATCACCGAAAGCTAGCTGTTGAGAAGATTCTGATCGAGCAGTTCATCGGCTTAGATGAGTTTGATGGCCATGAAGGTATCAGTTCAGATTCATCTGACAACCAACTTAGCCTCTTCCTATCTCCAAGATAGCCGGTCAGCATCTACAATCAGCGCATTATACGCATGCAAAACATCTACAGTAAATCATGTGCATATCTTCATGTACCATTATCATTAGCATCTACTTGTTGTACATTATACTGGTACCTTCAGAGTGACATTGCTAGGAGGTTTTTTGGTGCAAAGGCTGATTAAATTTCAGTACCAAAACTTCACCACTGGTTGTGTCTGATAATTGGTTTCCACTTGATCTTTGTCACTTCCCAACCAAATCTCACTTTCGTTCTGTCTTCGCGAATGCTGGATGAACCTTGAACTCCTAGTGCTGCTATCTCTGATGCACGAGAAGCAGGATAGTACATGTAAACAAGTAAAAGCTTCAGTTTGGTAGCTTACCTGAGCTTTCAGTTCCAAGAAACTCCAAGATGCTACTACATCTACATGGGAGAGGCTGTTAGACCAAGAACAGTACAATTGGCACTTGTATTCTTCAGTGTTTTTTTGTCGTCTGGTATGTTAGCTTGCCTGGTTGAGAACTGCTCAGAGGCCAGTCTAAATTTTCCAGGTGTACTTGATTTTTATATGGCAAAAGAAACAAAAAAAAGTTAGAATTTTGTCGCTGCCATTCCGGCTGCCTCAAGTCACAGGAAGATCTTTTGGTTGCACACAGAGAACTGATGGCTTGTGTGAGCCTCTGTTTTTTTTTTCCCTTCATCATCTGCATATCGGTGTGCTAGGATTTTGTTCTTCGTTTTTGCAAGGTGATAGAATTATTATGATATGAACATACAAGAAAAAAAGTTTGATAAAAAAGAAAGTAAGAATAAGCTGCGTTTGTGCGTTCGTCAAGTAGCTGATGTGTTAGGTTTAAACCAATATATATATCACTCTTTACTTTCATAACACTGTAAATATACTTTTATAATTTTTTATATCCTTAGATATATCACGTGGATACAATGTATCAAGGAAAGGTAATTAATATAGTTTTTATTGATTAATGAAATACTCCATCATCTAAAAAATACAACCATCTATTAATGAAATACTCCATCATCTAAAAAATACAACCATCTCCATGACACGTACAAATCCTCACCACGAAGCAAATCCATCTCGGAACAAATATATCTGCAGGTAGACCAATTTTGCTGAACACTCATGCCGCCGCAAATTTGTTGAACAGCAATATTTTCTTTTATAGTAAAAAGTACGAATTTACCTAACCTATGTTCAGTAAGAAAAAACGGATTTGTTAGAAAACTTCTACAAGTTTTATGTCCCTCAAAACTTTTAGATTTGTTACCATTGAATCACCTGGAGATTTGTGCATGAAGAAAATAAATTGCTAGAATTTTTTTTTCTCATGTCACGCGTAACATCTCAGTGTTAACTAATTAACCGAATACAAGTTTTATATAAGTAATATCGTAGTTACAATGCAGTTATAGGGTAGTTATAATATAATTACACTTTAATTATGCTATAATTACATCTAAAAGTTTTTTACTCCAAAAATTTGTGGCAATTTTTTTAGATACTTCAGAAAGAACCCTCTCCAGCCTACCTGCCTGCATATTCTGTTCTCATGATTGGGGGAAAATAAAATCCGGCACCCACAAGAAAAAAAATATCTACCATCTTGCATGGCAAGAAAAAACTCGGTTACTTGTACCAGCAATTCTCTGTCCCCAGAATTCAGAGATAAAAATCACAAAATTTTCAGAAGAAAACAAACAAGGAGAGAGAGAGAGAGAGAGAGAGAGAGAGAGAGAGAGAGAGAGTAGGCCAAAATAAAGGCAGGAGAGGAGAGCCCAGGCAGTGAAGCCGGAGGCCCGTCTTCTCCCTAGTCTCTCTTCTTCCCCCTTATCTCTAGGGAGGAAAGAAAAATAACAAGAACGCACCTTTTGTCTCTCTCCTCTCCTCCGAGGTAAGGTAAAGCTTCTCCCCCCCTATCCCCATGGCGTCCATCCTAGCTCGTTTTCTCTCTGTAAATTATATCGTTCTTGGTTGGTTCCTGTTGTTGGCTGCCGGGTGGGGGGGATTGTGGTGCGGAAAATTTGAGTTCTTGGATGGATTAGCGATCTTTTTTTTTTAGTTCTTGGTATTGGCGATCCCTAGAGATGTTATCTCTTTCCTGTATGGGAATAAAGATTACTTTTCTTTTGTTTGTTTGGGTGTTGGTGTTGTGAGGATGTTTGTGGATAGGGATGCTGTGTTGTATCGGTGATCTTTATCCAATTCTCTATCTTGGGTGTGTGGTTCAGTGATTGAACAGATGGGAGTGGTAGTTCTTTTTGCTGGGAGTTTTGTAGCAGTGCAATTTCCTTCTGAACTAATCATAGAGTAGAAAGAAGAGGAAACAAATATATACTGGAGAAATAGCTATTTATGATTTGCAATTTAATGAATATCTTTTTAGATGATGTGCAAATTTAGTGAAGAAGATGAAGCACAGTATCTTTGGTTTAGAAACGAAAGAATAATAAGCAGAGCATGTTTTGTAGTGTTATTGTAGATTCCATACTCTCCATTGTGCTTATCTCTGAGCATTTAGCTTACTTCCATTGGGGATCAAGTATCTAGATTAGTTTCTAACTATATCAGAATTGTTGGTCCCGAACAGGTTTGGGGAAGCTACTTCTGACCATGGCAGGCACCCTGCTCCAGCCGGTTGCCCTCGGAACAACTTTTGCAGGCCGTGTAAGTGGTCAGCGATGGAAGTCTCATGGCACAAGGAGGCCTCCCTCAATGTTGGCGATGTCCTTGAGCCGCCCAGTTAAGATGGCCGCATTTGTCGGTCTGAGATCGGTGCATAGCTTCTCAGTCACGCCTGTCACCAACTTCAGATCGACGGTTGCATCTTACAGATCAAGACGGGGAAGGCGTGCTCGCTTTGTAACCAGATCGATGTTTGAGAGGTTCACTGAGAAAGCTATTAAGGTTATAATGCTTGCGCAAGAAGAGGCAAGGCGGTTGGGCCACAACTTTGTCGGTACTGAGCAAATTCTCTTGGGTCTGATTGGAGAAGGGACTGGTATTGCTGCTAAGGTGCTCAAGTCAATGGGCATAAATCTCAAGGATGCACGTGTGGAAGTGGAGAAGATCATTGGGAGGGGCAATGGTTTCGTTGCTGTCGAAATACCATTCACACCACGTGCAAAACGTGTTTTGGAGCTTTCATTGGAAGAAGCTCGTCAGCTAGGTATGTCTTGCATTTTGATTGATTTGATTTTATCACTAATTTTTGTTTTTATTGTACCTAATCACACTTCAAAAATTGAAATCCAATAGACGGACAGTGACATCTATGTATCAAAAAGTCTCAATGTGTATTGCTTAGCTATCCAATCATTCTCACTCACTAATTACCAACAATCCATGGATCACTCTGGTTTGGTGATGAAACTGAACCTAATCAGAAGGGTAGTGACTTTCATAAATAGTAGTTGGTTATTGTTGCTGTCACACTTTTGGCCCTAACCAACATGTTGCTTTCTAAATGGGCTGAATTGGAAGTCACCAACATATACTTCAAGACATCATATTCTTGTTAAATATGTACTACTAAAAGTGCTAACTTCTCCTCTTACGGTAAAGTAAAAGTAAAAAGACGAGTTACAATGGACTAGTTGCATGATTATGTACCTTGTTAATTTGGTTTGCCACATCTGTTGTTCTTGTATTGTTTGGAATTCTCTTATTCATTATGGGAACTATTCCCTTCGCATTGGTGTATTCATTGGCTTATCGGTGTTACTCATATTGAATACATGGTTGCTAAGCTGCTGACTGTTCACATGTTAACAAAAGAAACTTTTATATCACTATGGATTTTGTATGCCGTGATGTGATGCATCTGATTTTCTTATTATATTTCAACATATGAGTGTATGACATAGAAGATCATTGGTTTTCCAGACTTGATGCCCTTATGTTTCCAGGACACAACTATATTGGATCTGAGCACTTGCTTCTTGGACTGCTCCGTGAGGGTGAAGGTGTAGCAGCCCGTGTGCTCGAAAGCCTTGGAGCCGATCCTAGCAATATTCGCACGCAGGTAAATGATGTGCATATATCTGAATTTTTTCTCCTCTCTGTACGAGTAGTCTTTGTTTTTCTTTAGCATTTATAACGAACATAACATGCATCTAGGTTATCCGAATGATTGGCGAGACTACAGAAGCTGTTGGTGCAGGAGTTGGAGGAGGGAGTAGTGGCAATAAAATGCCAACACTTGAGGAGTACGGAACTAATTTAACAAAATTAGCAGAGGAGGTAATGTTTTTGTCCTATTGCAACATAGTAGCACTTGTGCATGCATAATTGTTAACTCTGATAATCTCTGTAGGGAAAGCTAGATCCTGTTGTTGGAAGGCAACCCCAGATTGAGCGTGTCGTACAAATTCTGGGCAGACGAACAAAGAACAACCCATGCTTAATTGGAGAGCCTGGTGTTGGAAAGACAGCAATTGCAGAAGGCCTTGCTCAACGCATTTCTACTGGTGATGTGCCTGAAACAATTGAAGGAAAGAAGGTATACTTTGTTTCTTTAATTGTTCATGATATACCCAATACCATATGCATTAATCCTTATATTTCCTCTGTGAGTTGTAAACATCTTAGCGTAGGCTTGATTGTGGCCCCTTTATGTGTTAGGTCTTTCTGTGCTCTCTTGCTTGGGCTTTTGTGTAATTAGTGAGAAAATTATCTCATATTTATTTGAACTTATTTACTGCAGGTCATTACCCTTGATATGGGACTTCTTGTTGCTGGTACAAAATACCGTGGAGAATTTGAAGAAAGATTAAAGAAGCTGATGGAAGAAATCAAGCAGAGTGATGAGATAATACTATTTATTGATGAAGTCCACACTCTCATAGGAGCAGGAGCAGCTGAGGGTGCTATTGACGCTGCTAACATTTTAAAGCCAGCATTAGCAAGAGGAGAACTACAGGTATGTGGATGGTACTCTGGTCTATTTGTTGTTTAATATATGCACTATCTACCATCATTGTGTCATGCTGAACCTCTTGATGTCTTCTTAGTTACTATAATGTCTCACAATATATTCTCTTTGTTTGATTTCAGTGTATTGGAGCCACCACACTTGATGAATACAGGAAGCATATTGAGAAAGACCCAGCATTAGAAAGACGTTTCCAGCCTGTAAGAGTGCCAGAGCCAACAGTTGATGAAACCATAGAAATTCTCAGAGGGCTTCGGGAACGATATGAGATCCATCATAAACTTCGTTACACTGATGATGCTCTGATTTCAGCTGCCAAGCTATCTTATCAATACATCAGGTGTGTGAATTACTTGGTTATAAGCTATAAAATATCACCTCGTTGAGCGCGCATATTGTTCGTGGACCTTCTGTAGCATTTCAATAAAATGTTTGTGAGGAGTTTCCCAGTTGAAAGATTAAATTATTGAACAGGACATATGTTACTATCAGAGTCAACAACTCAACTGTCTATTGAATAAAATATAGCTTGACTACTATATATATCATTCAGATTTTATTTATCTGACACATTATTTTGTTTGCAGTGATCGTTTCCTCCCAGATAAAGCAATTGATTTGATTGATGAAGCAGGTTCACGT